ACATTTTCATGTTTTTGTGGCACAAACAGAAACCGCACCCAGGAAGATCAGTCCTCCTGGTGGCCACAATCCTACTGTGCTTCTGTGAGAACTTCAAAGAAATGAAATTGTATCACACAGTGTCTGTCTTTCTAGGGTCAGAGTATCTCACTCAGCCTTCAGGCGTTTCCTTTCTTTTTAAAACTGGGCTGGACATGGTAACCCCGGCCCAGGAGGCTGAGGCAGGAGGATGCCGTGGAGTGTGAGACCATCCTGAGCTACATAATGAAACTCTGTCTCAAAAAAAAGAGAACAAGGCCCCGTGTGTAGCCGCACCCTCTGTCCCCGGCCCGTGGGTGCTGGGGCCACCTGCATCCTGAGCTGTCTTCCTTCTCCGTGTCCCCCGCCTGGGCCCACGCTTGCTTTCTGTGTGTTTAGTGTCACTTAGAGTCGAGTCTTGCTAAGCTGTTCAGGCTGCACCACAAACTCTGGGTCCTCCTGATTCAGCTCCCGCGGCAGCCACAGGGCCACTGGGCTGGGCTGGGCTTTCCTTGTGACAGCAACTCTGCTGCAGAATGGATGCGGGCTGCAGCGGGGTTTCCCGGTGACAGCGATGTGGGCGCGGCCCGGGCTCTGCAGCCACTCGCCTGTCCACCCTGCTCTCTGTCCCCTTCCAGCCGGGCCACTCGCTGGCAGGCAGCGTCTAGGGCCGCACTCTCTCCTCCGCCCACTGCTCGCGGGGTGATGCGTCACTGTCACCAGGGCCCATGCTGGGGACCAGGCGGGATCTCGGGGAACCGGCCTCGGAGAAACACCACTAATCACCGGGTGTGCGGGCGGGAGGCTGGGAGTTGTCCCTGCGGATGCTCGGGAGGTGACTGTCCACTTGGTGACTGTCCACTTGTTTGTCCCGTCATCGCTCTCCCTGCCCAGTGCTGCTGGCTTCGTTCTCCCCAGTGAGGAGGGGCCAGCGCTGTCACCGGTCACACGACGACTGATGTGGACCTGGGTCCTGGAGAAGGGGTGGCCTGAGGAGAAGCTGGGTGCTCAGCTGGGTCCCTGTCGTGTGAAGGCCAAAGCCGGTCCCTTTGGGAGATGTAGTGGGCCCCGATGAGGGAGGACACTGTTGCTGGCTGGGAGGGGACTCTGCAGTTGGGGGCTGCACCAGGCGGGCCTGGGGGCCTCCGCAGCTCCCACTGGGCACAGCAGAGCTGTGAAGAGAGAGTGGGACGGAAGCCGGGCCCTCCCGCCTGGCCTCGCCCACCTGCTTGCTGACACCCGGACCCATCTGCTGGAGCCTCTTCCTCAGCCTCAGTAACACTGGGGATCTGGGCTTCCTCTTTTTGTTTTGTTTTGTTTTGAGGCAGGATCTCACTTCGTAGTCCAGGCTGGCCTTGAACCCGTGGCAATCCTCCTGCTTCAGCCTCCTGAGGGCCGGGGTCACTGCTGTGCACCACCTCACCCGGCTTCTCACCTTCCCCTTACCTCGCCCTACCAGGCACCCTGAGAATCTGCCTGGCACAGAAGCGCATGTCCACGCCCCGCAGTGTGTCTCAGCACAGGGGCCAGGGAGTTTGCAGGCCTTGCTGCCTCCTTGACCTGCAGGGTTCGGGCTCTGTGAAGGCCAACACTGGCACCATTCCAGTGTCCCTCATCTGTGTTTCTTTGCTCTCCAATGCAGCTGGCCCTTCCTGCTTAGGCCTGAGGTTTAGGCCTGCTGGGCAGCCCAGCTCCCTCTTAGGCTGGAATATAGGTGTGAAGGCAGGAGGCAGCACAGCCACTTTGGACATTAGAGGGCAACTGTGGGACACCAGAGTGACGGGAGAGACAGTGTTGTTCCCAGTACAGTCGAGCTCTGATTCCGCCTCCAGCGGGGAAACGAACCGCCGTGTTGTTTAGCTCTTGCTATGTTTGACCCACCTGGTGATGGGGCCCAACCTGCATCCCAACAGCCCACCCGGCACCCCACTTCTGGTGACTGAGTCATCTGTACCCGCAGGCCTGGCTCTTTGGGTCCTGCGTCCTCGCCTGCTGAGCCATCAGTTTTATCTGCGGTCCCCGCTCCTTCCTCCCCACCACCCCTTCCCTTTCCTATGCCCAGACGGTCAGTCCTGACTCAGGGTCCTTGTGCCTGCTGTCACACTTCACACTTCCCTGCCTCGTGTTCCAAGGGTCCCCTGTGCCCCTGGCTAGACCGTCTCACGCTGGCCTTGCAGTTGGTCAGGACTGTGAGCCAGCCCGAGTCCAGTGGGAACCAAGTCACCCGTGCGCCAGTGTCCAGCCAGGCTACCATCACCAAATGCTCTGTTTGTTGAGTGAATGCTGGGTACTCATGGACAGAAGCCCTGTGGGGAGGCGCCGGGGAGGCGGCTTCAGTTAACAGGCAGCAAGCATTCAAGAATGAAACGTCCTTTCTTTCCTCCCCTCTGACAGCTGACCAGGACCTTCACTCTGAGCCTTTATTTTTGAGACAAGCAAGGTGTAAATAAGTTGCTCAGGCTGCGCTCAAACGTTTGATCGTCCTGCCTCAGCCTCCCAGGGGGCTGGGTGACAGCTTGTGCCACCACACCTGGCTTAGTGCTTTATTTTTGTATTTTAAAATAATTATCCTAATTACCTATGAGACGCAATTAAAGGATGCGAGTTTATTTTGACGTCACATGAAAAACACACAGCAGTTATTAAAAAAAGAACCCTCTTTTACCATGGCAGTTTTGTGTGTGTTCTTCTAGCCTTTTTCTGTGTGCATTTATGTCTAGTATATTTGTTTATTTGCTTTGTTTTGACACAGGCTCTCACTAGGTAGCTAGGCTGGAGATCCTCCCGCCTCAGCCTCCAGGAGCCTCAGCACGCTCACTTGCTGCCCAGCTTTGAGGGTCATCTGTACCAGAGTCTCTGGACCCCGCCCTTCAAGCTCATTGCATTCCAAGCCACACCCAGGATGGTTAGGGGCCCACATCCCTTCTTCGTGAGTCCCTGCCCCACGTGCTCCAGAGGTGGCTACCCTTCTGCAGCCCTGACCCAAGCAGGGCGTGCAAACAGGGCACCATCTACAGACTGGGGCTCGACTCCTGGCTCTGCTGCTTCGTGTAGGACCTCGGGGAAATCAGTTAACCAGCCTGGGCCTCAGTTTCCTTGTTTGTAAAACAGGGTTTACTCACTGGGTGCTGCAATGGATCAGCAGCTCTCAACTCCGCATGTGTGCGCACGTGCCTCTGTGACCTCCACAGGGGACAGCAGGCAGTGACTCAGGGTGGGAGATGCAAGTGGCATCCAGAGGTCTAGGACAGCGATGCAGCCCAGCTACCCAAATGAAAGAAGCACTCGACAGGCTGAGGCAGGAAGATTGCTATGCATTTGAGGCCAGCCCGGGCTACACCGTGAGACCTTCTCTCAGAACAACAGAACAACAAATAACCGCAACATAAAACCTGCCCCCAGTTGTGCTGGTGAGGTGGAGGGCGCTGCTATAAAGATGGGACCCCAGGGTTTCTGGCACACGGACACTGCCTGAACGCCGTCCCCACCTGTGCCCATCGTGTCCTTGTGCGGGCCCCAGCTCTCCGAGTGTGGGGACCTGGAGGAAGCGGGAGGGCGCGGGGTGGCAGGGTGCCTGGGTCTGGAGGAGGAGGAGGAGGTGCAGTCGGGCAGCGGGAAGCTCGTGGAAGGGACACTGGAAGGGCAGAGGGGAAGGCTGGGTGGCGGGCTGGTCCCACACCTGCAGGCTGGTGTCCAGCCGTGACTCAGGGACCTGCCAGGGGATGCGCGTGATTCAGGCTGCAGGGCTTGACCGTGCCCAGCCACCGAGTGACTGTGACCTTAATGACACTTTTATGTCCCCTTTCATCGCAGTCTCAAAGCCCAGGCAAACACTAATTAAGGCTCTGGAGTTCTGGGAGGTGCTGTGTGTCAACAGCTCTCTCCACGCTCGGTGGCGAGGGGAAACTGAGCCAGGCCAGGAGGCAGCCCGGGCCCCACGCAGCCCACACCTGGCTGAGGCTCTGAGCTCCAGCTGAGCACCTCTCCTCTCTCCAGACCCCTCTTGGTGATGTCATGAACAGAAGTGGGGTTTTTGTTTTATTTTGTTTGTTTTTTGAGTCAGGGTCTTACTATGTAGCCCATGATGGTTTTAAACCACCTGGTTTTGTGTTGGGTCCCCTTCTAGAGTTAGGGGCAGCTGTAGAGCAGGACACAGGGGAACCCCTTCCTCTAGGGCAGGCTCTTTACCTGCTGTCCCCAGCATGGAGACCTGTGTGTGCCCATATCCCAGAGGGGGCAAAACGAGTCCCACGGGGGATGAGATGCCAAAAAGAAACGGAAACGCTATTTCCCAGAGACTCTGGGGGGTGATTTCTCTCTTTCCCTCTCTCCCCCTCTTTCTTCCTTTCCTTCACACTATTTATTTTTAAACATTTCTGTTAGTCCGGGCCTCCGCGGAGGTGGCTGCGCACAGGTGGCACACCCCTCCCGCAGCCCCCCATCCCTGTCCCCGTCCCCTTCTGAGAGGACCCGCCTCCTCTTTCCCGTCACCCGCTTTTCCTTGGTCCTTCTGTAGCTCAGGCTCCCCGCCTGGGAGGGTCCCGGCGAGGTTGCAGCTGTCTGATGCAGTCCCCTCAGCGGTCCGCTCGGGGTCCCCTGGGGCGCCGCCGCGCTCCTTCGGGAGGAGACAAACGCTTTCCTTCCTAACTTACCAGCGGTGACGCGCTGACTGGGCGACCCTTGTGTGATCTTTATAAAGTTTCTGTAAATCTGAAGCTGTGTCCTTAAAAAAAAAATTAAAATAAAGGAAGAGGGGGTGAGGGAGGGAGCAAGGGAGGGATGGGGCGCTGCGGCCCCGCAGGCCGAGGGGTCCCGGGATCTGGGGGGCGGCCCCCTCCCCTCCCCTCCCACCAGGGCCGCGTGGCCGGGCGGGGACACCCGAGAGGAGGTGGGGTCGCCCCTCCCCGTCACCCCCAGGGGGCGTCGCGCCCCGCCCGGCCCCGCCCCGACTCCGCGGCTTAAAAGCGGGGTGCCCGGGGCCGCTGCACTCATGCTGCAGCCGTGAGCCCCACTCGGCTGCCTCGTGATCGGACCGCGGCGTGGGCGCCGAGCTCTGGTGAGTGGCGCCGCCTGGGCGGGGAGGGGAGCCCGGGTCCCGGGTTGGGGACACGGGCTGGGGATCAGGCCGGAGGAGCCCGCTGGAGGACTCTGCCTTTCCTGCACCCCAAGGCCTTACTGTGGTGATGTGGGCCGGGGGCTGGGAAGCTGGGGGTGCACTGCTGGGTGGAAGCTGCCTGCCTTGTCACCCCAGCCCCCCAGCCCTCCAGCGTCACCCGCTATGCCCCAGTGTCACCCCCCTCTGCACACAGGCTCTCTCTCAGTACACCCAGCCCATTTGAACCAATGTCCGCTTACCCTGCGTGGACCGTGGTGGCCTCAGGTCCTGCCCTGGTCTGGGTCTGTCCCAGTCCTTCCTTCCCTGGGACCCCGGGACCCGGGGACAGAGCTCAGATTCCCGGTGGGTTCAGGCTGTGCTGTGGGCTTCGGCCCCACTGCTGGGGTTCTAACTCCATGTGGCTTAGGTGACACTTCCTGCTACACCCCCAGCCTGGGCATCCGGGGCTGGTGGACTCGCTCGGAGGGGTGGAGACCGCAATGCTGGACAGGGCCTCCCCACCAGATGCCGTGTCCGAGAGTCGCTGGCACTAGCTGCTTCTCACGAGGACCAATGTCACCTGCCCCGTGCTGGCTTACGCTCACTTGGGGTTACCTGGGGTCACCCCTCTGATGGCAGGTGCCCACAGCCCATAGCTTAGACCTCTGTCCCTTGACAACCCGGCCCCTGCATTCTGCAGTGTCCGCACAGCTGGGCAGATGCTGGGCCAGACGGCTCCATGGCCTGTGGTCTTGAGTCAGCAGGCTGGCTTGGCAGGGACCCTGATGGGGCTGTGTGAGCCATGGGCTGGGGCAGGGAGGCTGCGTATGGACCCGGAAGAGGCCCAGGCAGCTTCTCCCGGGGCTGGGGACCCTGAAATGAGGGTGTCAGAAGTGGGCCGAAGTAGATCCCGATGTGGAGAAGCAGGAGAGGTGGGAGGAGCTGGGAGGCTGGGGGCACAGTTGGCTTCTCTGAGTCCTGGCCACCGGGAGGCACCAGGGCCTTGCTCAGCCTGGGGGTGCAGGCCTGGGAAACTGCTTCCAGCGTGCTCTGAGCGGCGCTTGGCCGCTGGGTGCTGCTGAGAAGGGGCCATGTTTGCGGATCCTGGCTTCTTTCAGGGGCGTGCTAGGTGTTCCCTGCTGTAATCCCAGCACTGGGGAGGCTGAGGCAGAAGGGTCCCTGAGAGTTTAAGGTAACCTGGATTACACAGTGAGTTCAAGGCCAGCCTGGGCTGCCCAGGGAGACCCTGTCTCAACCCTCCCCTTAACACGAAAGCCCCGGGGAGTCCTCCCTGCCCAGCTGCTACTCTTGCCAGGCTAATTACAGCCCTCTCTGGCTCCCACAGGAAGCCATGTTCGGCCTCCCCCACCCAGGGAGGGAGGGTTCCCCACGGAGGGACTGGGAAGGATTTGCTTTTCCTCACTCATTTTCTTTTCTAGAACAATGAACATGTCGGCCTTGCAGGGTTGCGAGTGTCAGATATGGGGCCAGGTGGCAGGGTGCGAGTCTGGCCAGTCTTGTCTGGGGGAATCCATTGGTTTAAGTGACTGTCCCTTCCCACCTCCTCCGGCTGCTAAGGCGAAGTGAGACCAACACACACCCCACAGCAGCTTAGGGGAGAAGTACCCCAAACTGCATAGCCCCAGAAGTGGAGATGCATGAGGCATGGGACAACTGGAGGGTTGCTTGTGTATGAGACCTCGGAAGTTTAAAGTGGAGGGAACAACTGGATGTGGTGGTGTGTACCCATAATGCCAGCACCTGGGAGGCTGAGGCAGGAGCGTTGCCATGAGTTCAAGGTCAGCCTGGGCTACAGAGCAAGACCTGGTCTCCAAAACAACAAACAAACAAAAAGACGGAGGGAACAAAGCCACCCATTTCCCTCTGGCACGGGCAGAAGTCAGTGGACAAGTCCTGAAGCCTTGTGGTGAGGTTCAGGGGTTCACTGCTCCCCAGTCAGGGTCCCTGATAGGTGTCAGGGGTGTGACCTCCTCCATTTTCCCGTGTATAGTATGATAGATGGTTTGATCAGGTCTCAAAGGCTCTGGCTTCTTTTTTGGTTTTGTTTTGTTTTGTTTTCGACAGGGTCTTTCTTGGTATGTAGCCCAGACTGACCTCAGCCTCCTGCCTCAGCCTCCCTAGTGCTGAGATGACAAGTGAGTGCCACCGTGCCAGGCTCATGTACTAACTCATTAATGCTCCTGGCAGCAAAGCGGTGAGGTCTGGCCTCGAGAGAAAGCTTTCTTGGCCATTCCTGTGTGCAGCTGTGGGTGGACCGGCAAGGGTTAGCAGGGCAGAGAGGTCCAGATGCCCTGCAGTATGAGCCCCACATGGGCTTTCTCGGATGGCAACCTCAGGCCCTTTGCATGAGCATCAGGGAATGTGCTGCCCGTGGGGGACCCTGGCTGGGAGGGGCAGCCTGGCTGCAGCCTGGCCTCGCTCCCCATGAGGCTATGCTTCAGAGACTTTGTGCAGAGAGGGGGCACAGGCCAAGGAGAGAGCTCCGCTTCCCAGGCCTCAGTTTCCCCAGCTGCATGGGTGGGCCAGGATCGTCTGAGGTCCCGGGTCCTCTGAAATAGCTATTGGCTGTATGAATTCCTGGTACTGGTGGGGCTGCCTGCCAGGAAACTTGAAACAAGGTGAACCTGGAGAGATGGTACATAGTTGGATGTGGTGGTGTACAGCTGTCATCCCAGCACATGGGAGGCTGAGGCAGGAGAATCTCTGGGAGTTTGTGGCCAGCTTGTGCTACATAGTGGGTTCAAGGCCAGCCTGGATTACACAGTGAGATTCTATCTCAAAGAAACAAACAAAAACCAAAGCAGTCTGCTGGGAAACTCACAGCAGATGTGGATGATGTTGAGCATTAGCCAAGCAAGGTCTTGGCTCACACCCCGCCTGCCCGGGGCTCTCCGGCTAATTATGTGTTCCCCATGAGTCACAGGATGTCTCTGCTAAGAGACCGGTGGCCACCTCGCCCTGCTTCAGAGGCTTCTGTCCCTGGGGTGGGGCCGCGTCCTGTGTAGGTGAGCTGGCTGTCTGTCCTCTGTCTGTTTGCCCGATTCGCTGACCTCACGGGCCAGCAGTGGATGCCAGTGCTCCCCCTGCCTGGGGCTGGGCAGGGCTGGCCTGAGTCCCTGCCATGACTGAGGAGGTGCCCGAGGCCTGGGGGCAGGGTGTAATTATGCAGCTTCGTGGTCCTTTAACTGCCCAGGTCTGAGCTGCCAAGCGGCCCCGATGGCGTGGGTTATTAGGCCGCTTCTATGGGTGTGTTGTGGGGTGGGGGCACAGCCCTGCAGGTCCTCTTGGTCCCCAAGGGCCTGCACTGATGGAGGAGGCTTCATGAGGGTGTCTGGCTGGGTGGTGTCAGGAGGCAGGAATTACCGCTGCTGGTGGCACTTTGAGGGCTCCAAGGGCACCTCAGATTCTCAGATGCTTGTCACCGTGCAGTCCATCCCAGCGCCCTGGGCAGCTGGCTCCCTGTAGGAGAGATGGCTCGGTTCCCTTGGCAGGGTCCTTCCCAGGGCTGACTCCATGTGTCTTCCCCAGCTGGGGGCCCCTTGGGGGACCTCTCATTTGCATTATAGAGTGGAGTTCTCAGGTGCTGAGCTCTGACCTCATCTTGAGAGTGTGCTGGGCGGAAGAGAACACATTACAGATAAATGAGCTAGAGCTGGATGTGTGCCTGCAGCCCAGCACCCGGGAGGCTGAGGCAGGAGGATCGAAGGCTGGAACTCATCCTGCACAACTTAAGCACCTAGCAAGATCCTGTCTTAAAGTGAAAACGAGCTGGGGCAGTCGCCCAGTGCAAAGGCCCTGGGTTCAATCTCCAGTTTAACAAAACTCCAGTTTGAAGTTCAAGGTGGAAGTGAGCGCAGCCCTGCAGGCGAGGCGTGCGACCAGCTCCTTTTTCTGCTCTGATAACTCCTGTCAGTTCAGTCGGCTCGTGTGAGTTTTTGTGGGCAGCCTCCTTTTTTTTGTGGCTGTGAAACAAGACAGAAGCAGACTCAAGGCCCCAAATCTTCCTCTTGATGGGGGCACCCTGAGCCCCTGTTCTTTCTCTCTCTCTCAACAAGTCGTGCTGTCTGGCCCAGGCTGCCTGCAGTCGTCCTGCCTCAGCCTCCTGAGTGCTGAGATTACACTGTGTGCTACATGCCCCCCCATCCTTCGCCAAGTCCTGGATGAAAGGATGACAAGTGGGGCCTACGCAGCTTCAGGGAGTGAGAAGTTGGGGTCCTGGTGGTGCCTGGGGCTGAGGTTGGCTCTCTGGGGAGACCTGGGTTGTTTGCAGTTAGGGCTCGGGCTCTGGCTCCAGATCATGAAATGGGGTGAGGAGGGGGGACGAGCCCTCCCTATTGGCCCAGGACTTCACCTTCTGACTCAGGGTTCTGCTCATCAAAGAGACTCTGCCTTCCCAGAGCTAGGTGACCTGGCTGTGAGATCTGAGCCTCAGTTTCCCTGATTCCTGTGGCCCCATAAAATGATGACCACGGCCACGCCTTAGCCTGCAGGAGGCCCGGGCCCCTTTGAACTTGGCCTGGAATTATGCAGGGAATCCTGGTCCTGCATAAGCTGGGTGGGGTCCAGGACCAGCCTGCCAGGGCACCTGCTGGCCTTCCCTCCTCTCCTCTCCTTTGCTGCCCACAACAGCCCGGGTGTAGGCAGAGGTCAGCGTTTTCCCCTAGCCGACCAGGAAGCTCAGCAGCAGCCTTGGCTTCATTCAAGGTTAAACAATAGCACTAGCCAGGCAGTTTGTACACCTCAGAATCTCAGCACTCAGTAAGGCTGAGGCAGGAGGATCTCTGAGAGATCAAGCCAGCCCACTCACTCAGTGAGTTGAAGGATACGGTGCAGTGGCCTTTCGTTAGCCACGTGCTTGTGACTGAACCCAGTGAAGCCCACCGGAAGTGTGGACAAAGGGATGGGACAGGAGGGTGGTGCCATGGGCCCAGTGGTGTGTGCCAGGCAGAGGGTGAAGGGCCGCTTCCCTGAGGTGCGTGCATACCTTGGCTCTAGGGTCCTCAGAAGGCTGCAGGCACGGCAGAGGTGGACATGATCCCACCAGCTTCCAGGAGGTGCTGGGCTGGGAGCACAGTGACTGTGCCCAGGGCTGGTGTCATGGCTTCGGAGTGCGAGGAGCCCTCGGGCTGCCAGGGCAGCGAGAGCGCAGAGGGAGCACTGGGCGGGGTGTGTAGTGACGGGAATCCAAGCTGAGCCCCTGTTGAAACTGAAGGTTGATGTTAGCTTCAAAGTAGCCACAGGATGCTGGGCGCATGGCACCTGCTGTGATCCCAGCACTCAGGAGACTGAGGCAGGAGGGTCGCCATGCATCTGTGGCCAGCCTCGATTGTTTGGAGATTCTGTCTCAAACAAGCGAACAACTCAAACCAAACAAACCCTGGTAGCCTGGAGTCTAACCTGAGCTCTCGTCCTTCCAGGCCATGCCGCTGAAACACTGCCTCCTCCTGCTGCTGGGCTGCCAGACCTGGGCTGCCGCCTCGGCCTACTACAGCTGCCCCAGCGAGTGCACGTGCTCCCGGGCCTCGCAGGTGGAGTGCACGGGCGCGCGCATTGTGGTGGTGCCCACGCCCCTGCCCTGGAACGCCATGAGCCTGCAGATCCTGAACACGCACATCACCGAGCTCAATGAGTCCCCGTTCCTCAACACCTCGGCCCTCGTCGCCCTGCGCATTGAGAAGAACGAGCTGTCCAACATCCTGCCCGGGACCTTCCGCCACCTGGGCTCGCTGCGCTACCTGAGCCTGGCCAACAACAAGCTGCAGGTCCTGCCCATCGGCCTCTTCCAGGGCCTGGAAAACCTCGAGTCGCTGCTGCTGTCCAGCAACCAGCTGGTGCAGATCCAGCCGGCGCACTTCACACAGTTTAGCAATCTCAAGGAACTGCAGCTGCACGGGAACCACCTGGAGTACATCCCCGATGGCGTCTTCGACCATCTGGGCGGGCTCACCAAGCTCAATCTGGGCAAAAACAGCCTCACCCAGCTCTCCCCGCGCATCTTTCAGCACCTGGGCAACCTGCAGGTGCTGCGGCTGTACGAGAATAGGCTGGCGGACATCCCCATGGGCACCTTTGACGGGCTGGGCAGCCTGCAGGAGCTGGCCCTGCAGCAGAATCAGATCGGTGCGCTGTCGCCTGGGCTTTTCCACAACAACCGCAACCTGCAGCGTCTCTACCTGTCCAACAACCGCATCTCGCAGCTGCCGCCCGGCATCTTCATGCAGCTGCCCCAGCTCAACCGGCTCACGCTTTTTGGCAATGCCCTCAAGGAACTGTCCCCGGGCATCTTTGGGCCCATGCACAACCTTCGCGAGCTCTGGCTCTATGACAACCACATCGCCTCCCTGCCCGACAACGTCTTCAGCAACTTGCACCAGCTGCAGGTGCTGATCCTCAGCCGCAACCAGATCGCCTTCATCTCCCCCGGCGCCTTCAATGGGCTGGGCGAGCTGCGCGAGCTGTCCCTGCACACCAACGCGCTTCGAGACCTGGACGGGAGCGTGTTCCGTGCACTGACCAATCTGCAGAACATCTCCCTGCAGAACAACCGCCTCCGCCAGCTGCCGGGCAGCCTCTTTGCCCACGTCAACGGGCTCATGACCATCCAGCTGCAGAACAACCAGCTGGAGAACCTGCCGCTGGGTATCTTTGACCACCTGGGCCACCTGTGTGAGCTGCGGCTCTACGACAACCCCTGGCGGTGCGACGGGGACATCCTGCCACTCCGTAACTGGCTCCTGCTGAACAGGGCCAGGCTGGGGACAGACACCCTCCCGGTGTGCTCCAGCCCGGCCAGTGTCCGAGGCCAGTCCCTCATCATAATCAACGTCAATGTCGCCGTCCCCAGCATCCAGGTTCCATCCATCCACGAGGTGCCCACTTACCCCGAGACGCCTCAGTACCCGGATATGCCCAACTACCCCGACGTCACATCCGTCTCCACCACCACGGAGATCACCACCAGTTCCATAGAGAACTTCACTGACCTGACCACCATCGGGAGCACTGACACCCGCGACACAGATGACACGACCCAGAGCGGGCTGGCCATCGCTGCCATCGTCATCGGCATCGTGGCCCTGGCCTGCTCGCTTGCCGCCTGTATCTTCTGCTGTTGCTGCAAGAAGCGGAGCCAGGCGGTCATGATGCAGATGAAGGCTCCCAACGAGTGTTAGGGGCAGGGGAAGCGGGCTCAGGCGGGGCAACACAGCAGGACCCGGGAGTGTGATGCTGCAGCCCACAGCCCTGGGCCACGCAGCAGCCAGGCTTCGGGGAGAAGTGGTCAGGCAGGACCTTGTGCCCCAGCGAAATCCGCCGGGTCACTGGGAAATCTGGGGGATCCCCAGCTTGAGTGCTTGGTCCCCACCTTCTCTCCAAGAACCGCTGTCGCCTTAGCCTGTGCCCATGCGGTGCAGTCGCTGGCTGCGGGAACACTTCGGGGACAGCCTTCTCCTCCAGGGGCTCTGGAAGTCCGTGCCCCCGCTCTCGCTTCGCTCCAGCTCTGATAGAAACTCCCCCTTGATTTCTGCTTCTGAAACCAGGGCAAGCCCTCTGCCCCGGGGAGGCTGAGAACCAGGCTGCGGGTTTCTTCCCCGCCGGGAAGTGCCCCGGCTCCACCGCAGCAGGAAGCCCAACCTCCTGCCTCAGGACAGCACTGTCTCTGCGTCTTTCCAGTGACTGTCACCTGGAGGAGGAGGCAGGTGCCAGCATGATGGTTCTGCCTTGTAGAGAATTTTCAAACTTGGAAAATGTTAGCCTTTATGGAATAAAATCATGTAGAGTTTCTGATATCTAAAAACGTGAAAGCAGCTGAGGGGTTGAGGATGGTGAGGAGAACCTAGGGGCCCACGCATCCCCCACCCACCTGAGGGTTTACCCTTTCAATTTCATATTGGAATTAATATTTGCACCCAAAAGCTGGCTGTGGTCAGGCAGAGCCTATGGGTTCCACGAGCTGAGGACACTGTGTAACACCAGCAGACCAGGACACAGAGTGTCACCAGGCACGGCGGTGCACACTTGGAATCCCAGCTGTCGGGAGGCTGAGGCAGGAGGATTGCCATGAGTTGGAGGCCAGCCCAGGCTATTTGTGTGTTTGAGGTCAGCCTGAACTACACAGTGTAACGGTCTCAAAAACAATACACACACACACACACACACACACACACACACTCACACACGACCCTGTGCCCTTGCTTTTTACCACTGTGCTGGCCTTCTGGCCGCAGTGTGCTCTTAGCAGGGACTAGGTTTTGTCCCTAAGTCCCCAGCCAGTCCTTGTGGAAGCCCAGCGGCCAGGCGTGGAGGAGAAGCTGTGGGTATGGACAGGACGGAGGCTCTGGCCAGCACAGGGGATCGCAGGACACCCCGAGAGCCCTGACATCATATGCAGGCTGGGAAGCCTGTGCACCCACCTCCCCTTCCTCCAGCAAACCACAGCTGCTCGGAGGCCCCTCTGCCCGCCTTTTATGGGCATGATGTGCCTGTATCTGTTTGTAATTTTCATCTCCATTTGGGGAAAGAGAAATAGCTCGCAGATGAGATCTTTGCACCAGGCATCCAAATCTAACAGGAATCCCGCTAGAGCCACGGTGAGGTTCCCCATGAGCATGAGTCAGCCAGCAGCCATGCCTCAGCGCCGCCCCAGGGAGCAGCGAGGCACACACGGGCAGGTCCCACGGGAGCTCCTCTGCCCAAGGTCTGGTTATGTGTTGTGCGGTCCAGGGCGTCTCCTCCCTTGAGTTCCGCTCACATGGATAGTGCCTTCCTGCTACATGTGTTCACACACGTTTAAGGTGTTATGCTGGCCAGGCGCTGTGGCTCATGCCTTTAGTAATCTCAGCTGACCAGGAGGCTGAGCAGGAGGATCCCAAATTTGAGGGCAGCCTGGGTCACTTAAGGAGGCCGTGTTTGGTAATGTAGCTCAGTGGTAGTGTGCTTTCAGAGCGCATGGGAGTCCTTGAATTAAACCTCTAGTTCTGGAAAGCGGCATCACATACAATGCAATGTATATCTTTCTCGGGAAAACTGGAGTTTAGAAGTAAAAACAGTGGTGTTAGAGAATTTCAGGTTTCTGTGTCACTCAGGAAAGAATGTCAGCTGAGCCCAGGGTCCCTAATGGTCAGTGTCAGATGTGCCACCTGGTCTGCCCTCGTGGGGTGTGTCGTCTGGTTAGGTTGGGCACAAGCCAGGAATCCCCCTCCCTACGGGGAGGGAGCGTGTGCAGCTCTTGGGGCTGGAGTGAGGTGCTTCCTGCTCCCCGAGAGAGCAGTGGACAGTGTGCAGGCCCCTTCCTCCTGTACCCAAGGCTTCTAGGCCCTCTTTCTGGTCACCAGTGGCCTTGTGTGGTGTGGAGGCTGGGATCAAGGTTGCAGGAAAGGAGTGAAATGCATCTAGGACCACCAAGAGTTTGGTTTTGTTTTGCTTTTTTGAGACAGGGCTGTGTGGCCAGGGCTGGCCTGGAACTTCAGATGATCCTCCTACCTCAGCCTCCTGAATGCTGGGGTTCCAGGCGTCCACCATCACACCCTAGGACTTCTGCTTTGAAAAGCACTCGCTGTGCACAGTGCCTTCAGAGCTCTCTATGAGCTCCGACTTGAACCCTCCGGACAGCACTGATGCGAGAACCACCTTTACCCCTGGATACAGCCCGAGACTGCTTGCTTGCTCTTCTGCACGCTCTGAAATCTGAATTGAGTTTATGTCTCTCTCCAACCCCTGTACAAGAACTCTAGGCCATTGGGGACCTTTGGAAAGAGGGTGTTACCTTCCGGGGCCCCCACAATCTCAGTCACTGGGGTCTCACTCAGTCCACTGGGCCACAAGCTTGATAAACACAGGGAAGGATCGTGCTTGTCCACTGAAGGGGAAACCGCGCCCTCTCCTGGGATCTCTGGCTGTGTGTGTCCCTTTTGTCCTCGTAGGACACAGAAGCAGGACTGAGTTCTTAGAACACTTCCTGGACAGCCACACTGGTGATTCCCCACAGCACTCAGGAGGCTGAGGCAGGAGAATCGCAGTGACACAAGGCCACCTTGGGCCACCTAGTGAGTTCACGGTCAGCCTGGACTAGGTAGTGAGACCCTGTCTGGAACAAACAAGCAGACAGCGGGGGTGGTGGTGGTGCTGCTGCTTCTGAGTGATGTCCTGTCCCATCCCACTCGCTTCTCCCCAGGGGAAGCCCCGCTGGGCAGGACGGGGTTCATCTCCTGCTCATGTCCTGCTTGATGCCAGAATTGGTAATACGCGGTCTGCACTGCAGCTTGTGCTCCCTGTGGGTGCTGAGGGCCGTGAGCCTGTTTTCTGCTCCCATCCGTGGCTCGCCTGGGACCTGGATGGGTCCCTGGGGACAGTGGCCCCAGGCTGAGTGGGGTGCAGAAAGTGAGTGGAGCCTGACAGAGGTGTGGCAGAAACACTGTGGCAGGGAGTTAAGAATGGGACAATGGGAGGTATTCCCTGGGGCAGAGCACTTACCTGTCCCTGGATTTGGCCCCTAGTTCTGTTAAAAAACAAAAACAAAAAACCTTTTTCATGAGCCAGCTTAGGGGCACACAACTGTGATCCCAGCACTCAGGAGGCTGAGGCAGGAGGATCTCCATGAGTTTGGGACCAGCCTGGGCTAACACAGTCGAGTTCAAAACCAGCCTGAACTATGTAGACCCTGTCTCAAAAAACCAAACCAAACCAAACCAAACCAAACCAAAGAAAAGAAAACAACAAAAGAAAAGAGGAAGAGGGTGCTTAAGGTGGGATACGCATTTTCACTGCTAGGGAACCAGCAGCTGCATCCTCTGGGCCCCAGCTCCAAGACTGTATGGACCAAGGTGACCCTGGGAGCCCAGGTGTCCCTGGTGTCTGGGTCCCAGGGCTGCCATACTGCGGTGCAGGGAGGTGGCCTGCTGGGAGTGGGCTGCACAATATTTTCACAGTCTCTGTCTCTGTGTCTCTATCTCTTTTTCTTCAGTACTGGCGATGGACCCCAGGGCCTTTGCACTGAGCTAGGTCCCCAGCCCTTTTCTATTTTTACTGTTTACACTTGAGATAGGGTCTCGTTAAATTGCTCAGTTGGTCAGGTAGGGCTCCAACTTGAGATCTTCCTGCCTCAGTCTCCTAAAGCTACAGCCTCTGCCAACCTGCTTAGCTTCCCACACTTTATGTTCCAGGCAGGCAGACCTCTGGTGCAGGAGGCTGGGTCAGGACAAGGGTCAGTAATGTTCTTCCTGTTCCAGGCCTGCACCCCACAGTGAGGGGGCGGGGCCTTGTGGATCGCCCTTAAACTGCTGAGATGTGTTGTAGGATCTTGGGTCATGGCGGTGGGGGGGGGGGCGTGTTTTGATCACCTCTGTCCTGGAAGGTGCCTGGAGCCTTCACGCACATCTCCCTGCACCTGCACAAGGCGCCTGGGCTCCTTGCAGCGCCCCCGATTTGATTTTGCGCACACACACACACACACACACACACACACACACACACACACAAGTCATGCACACTCTTCCCTCTGCTGGTTGACACCTCCAGATGGGCCTGTCCCCACCTCCGGAAGCTGCTGCTTTTGTTCCTGGCTGTCCTTCACACAAGTGTCCCTCTGTATATTGGGACGGATTCGCTTCTTGTAACTCTCCCCCGTGAGTCCGGAAAGGCTTTGGGAGGCTCAGTCAGTGAAGCCTTCACAGACAGAACACAGCCACACCCCTCTTAGGGTTCTCTCGGGGCTAGGGGAGCTAGGCAGGTGCCTGGGGCTGAGTGGGACACCTCGCCCAGCATAGTGGGGGGCAGTCTAGCCCCTTCAGGCCTCAATGGTGCCACATCTGTGACTCTTTGTGGGATTCGACCCCACCAGGCATCTGTCCATGGGGTCATTTTGTAATCTTCAGACCTTGCCCTGTGGCCTTGGTGACATTCCGGGAACACTTAGGCCATGTCAGGGGAGGAACTACTGCCTGGAACTTTGATCAGGGCTGGGGGTGGCTTCCGCTGACGACGGGCCACACTGGACGCCCCTCTGCTCCCAGAAGAACCAGGTCGCTGTCCCCACCGGCTCAGGGCCTCACGGTAAGACTCCCAGCCGTGCTGCGGTCTGGGCTCCCCTGCTGAGGACAGGAGAGGGGCCTGCTGCTGTTCCAGGTTCAGGGTGTCCCCAGGCACAGAGCTACAGTACCTGGGTCCTCTCCCCGGGAGCAAATCCTTTGGGGCTGCGGGTGGGGGAGGAAGGCTGGCAGATGGAGCTGAACAAGTACCCTGGTTCCCTGAGGGCCAGGCAGGTGACACAGTGTCCCAGTCCTTGCTGAGCAGGACAAAGGGGTGGTCCTGAAGTCGGGGTCGCAGGGAGCTGCCCACACAACTGTTCAGTTCAGCACACCCCAAGCCAGGGGGGTACAGCTGGACCCTGTCTCCAGGGCGCAGTGCAGTGGGCACAACTGGCCCTGACCCAGAGCATGAAGCCCCAAGCGTGCACACAGGACCCCCAGGACCAGCAGGCCAGGAGGGTTTCCTGGGGGAGGTGTGAATTGCACTGGGAGGGCGCGTCAGACCCAGGTGTCCTGCAGTGTCCTGCAGGGCCTGGAGGTGGGGCAGCTTGCAGTGAAAAGCCAGCTGCCTCCTCCCCACAGCACCAGCACCACGGGTGGCCACCCCCCCCATGGACTGGGGCTGGCACTCGTGTGTGTGTGTGTGTGTGTGTGGTGTGTACATGCGTGTATGTGTGTGCTCAAACCAGGTGGACCCCCTAGAGCCACCGAGAGCCACGCCTCATGCTTCCGGGGGTTGCCAGGGTCTGTGCCTTGTGCTTTCCGTGACTGTCTCCATTTTGGTAATAAAATAGATTTCCCGCTTATTGCAAAACTGATATAATGTCTATATTTACTATATTTATATCAAATATAGAATTTACATTTTATACAAAACAAACGCCCCCACCAAATTTAAATCACCTGTAAGCCAGGATGTGGTGGCACACACCCAGCACTTGGGAAGCTGAGGCAGGAGGCTCGTTGCCTGGGCTACAAAGTGAGTTCAAGGCTCGCCGGAACTGCATAGCGAGACCCTGTCTCAAAAATATAAAAAAAAAATCACCCATAAATCTATTTTTCAGAGATAATCACTGCATATGTTTTATATGAAATCTATTAAGTTTTCTATGCACAAACATACCTTTAAAATGGAAATGTGGCATCATGGGTCCATAAGTAGACTTCTTTTAATATATGTATTGCAAGCATCTTGGCACTAGATACATATCTGGGATGTGTGGTAGAAGTATGTGGTGAATATTTAAATTTTAGGAAACTGATTGCAGTAAGAACACGCTGTCATCTGTCCCCTCACCCGACCCCTGTGAGCACACTCAGCCCATCAGCCCTGCCGCTCTGTGCGGCAGCTCTGGAGTCCTGTTTGGTGAGGGTCGCTAGCTGCGCTGTCCTGGCTTCCAGGTCATCTTGACCTGGGGAAGAGCAGGGCGTCGCAGGGCGCCAGATGCAGCGGGTGAGGTGACCGAGGACTCCTTTCTGTTGGGCAGCGCTAGCCAGCGGCTTCCACCATGTTCCGAAGAGGACTCCAGAGCGGCTTCAGCCAGCGGCCAGAGGATGCCGTGCCTGTGTTTAAAGTGGGGGAAGGATTTGAAGGGAATTCATGGCAATGTGATGAACTTTTAAGTTTAAACATTCAGCACATATTTAGATCACACTTCATATGATTTTATTTTGTTTATTTAGTATATTTAAGGTTTTTTTTTTTTTTTTTTTGAGACATGTAGTTTGCCATGTAGTGCAGGCTGGCTTTGAACTATGTGGCCCTGGCTGGTTTTGAACTCACAGCGACCCTCCTGCCTCAGCCTCTCTAGTGCTGAGGTTACAGGTGTGCCCCACCATGCCAGGGCCATATAATTTTTAGAGACATCGCAGACAATTTCTGCCTCCCATTCCACCCCTGGGCTGTGTCAGTCCATCCTTGTTCTGGATAGGCTGGTGCCTGTTGCCCATGGAAGTGTCACAGAGGTGTGAATAAAGCTGGCGACCGGGCATCAGGAGTCTTATCATTGGCACAGCCCTGGATTGGCAGAAGTGGAGATGCAGGACTGTCCACTCTGGGGACAGCATGGTGGGTGGGGCGGGAGGGAGGAGCAGATGCTGGATCCCAGCCCAGTCCATGGCCTCAGCCCCCTGACTGACTTGTGGGGAAGAGAGGAAAAGAGGCCAGGCCTGGGCTCCGGATGACCTCTCTGGGGAGCTCAGGCAGCCTCTCCCTCTCCCCGATGAGCCTTGACCTGGCCTGGGAGGCAGAACCCAACTGCTAAAAAAAGAAGCTGAGGCTCACAGGTTGGGCTGGGGCTGCACCCTCCTTCAGGAAGGTGTAAGGTTGGCTCTGCAGTAGGTGGCAGGCAGGCTTGGGGTGCACAGGAGCGCACTGCCCACAATCAGTTTGAGACTAGTCCATTTGCACCCAGCCAAGCCAGAGGAGAGACGCAAGCAAAATTCTAAAACTGCAGGAAGAGCCAGGCTTGCCCAGCTTGCTGAGGGTGGAACATTTTTGTGGGCATTTGCTGGTCTTATTCCCAGATGTGGACCAGCGCCCGGCTGGCTGCGGCCCACCGGGGAAGCCACCTCCGCTGTCCCCAGGCAGGGGCTGCCCCTCCAGAGCTCCTAGGATCTGTGCTTCTGAGGGTGATGGGGACCAGGCATCCAGGGCGGGGTGATGGGACCCCCAGGTCTGGGTTCTTCTTGGGCAAGCACAGGGACAGAAAAAGCACAACTCAGCATGCGCCCTGGCCGGAGGTGGTGGTGGATGATCTCACCGGGTTTTCCATGACAGCCTAGGTGACTGCATCAGGAAGGAGCTGGTGCTGGCGGACTGGGCCTGAGAGAATCAGGGTCACTGGCAGGGCTGGGTGTCACCATGTGCCAGGCTCAGGGATGGCCAAGAATGCCCTCCCTGGATCTTTACACAAGCACCCAGGGAAGGCAGTGTTCTGCTTACTGCTTTGAAGATGAGGAAAATGAAGCACAGAGAGGTTAAGTAACTGAGCCTAGGTCACACAGCAAACCAGGGACAGAGACAGGATTTGAACCAGGCTGTCTGACTTCCCAGTGTCAGCTCACAGTTGCTCTGGAGTAATGCAACACAAAATCTCAGGCTGGGAGTGGTTTATACGGAATTGCACTGGGTGTGATGCTGTAGCCCTGTGATCCCAGCATTTGGGAGCCTGGATCACTATGAGTTCGAAGCCAATCTGGACTACATAGCAAGATTCTATCTGCAAAAAACAAAACTGCATTATTTCCAAATGATAGTGGGTTAATGATCCAGGCCAGCAAGAGAGAGGACCCGTTCAGTGGTGGCCCCAGCAGGCAGGTGCTGAGACCCCAGGGCCTCTGGCTGTAGGCCCTAACACTTCCCTTGTGCCCCAGTCTCCTGGCAGGAGCACCAGAGAGCACCTGGGCGGGTGTTGGCATCCTCCCAGGACACGGGGTGGCCAGCTGTGTTCTGAGATGCTGGGCTATCGGCCTACCCACCCCCGCCTCAGAGCACAGGTCCTGATGGGGAACAAGGCTCTGGCCTGTGCTTCCTGGGCCAGGGGCTTCCTCAGAGCCCCCGGGTTTGGGTGACCCGAAGGTAGGCAGATGTGGGGAGCACAGGGATCACCCACACCGCTGCAGCCAGAGCACCCTGCTTTGTGTTTCTACATGTGTGCAGTGTGACTGAAAAATGTGTGTGGGGGGGGATGTTAAAAAATTACTACAGGGCTGGCTGGGGATTTAGTTCAGCAGTGTAAACACCTGCCTGGCAAGTGTGAGGTCATGAGTTCAATCTCTGGTGCCAAACCAAAAACAAACAAACAAACAAACAAACCCAAAAATGACTACAGTAAAAGACACCTTGCCATGAAGCCCCCAGAATATTGCCCTCACTCCAGCGCCCTTTCCCGTCGCCCTTCCCACTTTCCAAGCAGCTCTTGAAGTCCTCTTTCCTGAGTGTCTTTGGTTGCTCTGTCCTGGCTGCCTCTGTGTCCTGAATCAAATTAAAGCGTTGACCTTTCACGGTCGTTGGGACTTTGGGAAGGGCCAGAGCTGCACGGCGCCAGATCTGGTGAAGAAGGCGCGCGGGGACCAGTGTCCTGTCCTCTAGGAGCCTCCCCTCTGCAGGGCAGCACTCGGAACCCCGGCACCGTCACCGTATTTTCGATCGCACCTCGTGGGGACCCCAGGAAGGCGGACTCCGCAGCCGCTTCGGAAAGCGCCGAGGGCGGTGGGACCCGCGGGGGATCTGGGGGTTTACCTCGCTCAGTCTCATGACCAGGCTGTGTGAGCTGAGTCCTGCAACTGACGGCCCAGGGGACGTCCCAGGCCGAGGCTTGTCCTTTCCTCGGGGCCTCCGGCGCCCGGGAGCTGTGGCCGGTCACCCCCAGGTCCTGCGAGTGTGGGAGCCCTGGCGTCCCCTCCTGGGGTGGCCGCGGCAGGCTGTGCGTCCCGCCCTCGGGGGAAGCTGCTCGCTCTTTACTGATTCGCGCAGAACTTTCCTGGGACAGCGCCCCGTCCCTGCTGGGGCGCTCGGGGTCCTAGGCTGCACAGCGACCTTAGCTGTAAGAGGGACGAGGCTGCCGGCAGGGGGCAGCAAGGGTCGTCCAGCGACTCCGAGGTGAGGTCCGGTGTGGACCGACAGGGCCCTGGGTGACCGGGCCCCTCTGAGAAAAGTCGGGATTAGGCTGCACGCGCCCTGGCTTCCATTCCCAGGACCCCACTCTCCCCAAATAAAAAGACCACCAAAGGATAAACAAACTATGCTTGTAAACATCACCATCCATTTGTGACCGTGGAGGGAGAGTAGCAGGTTTTAAATTAATATTCAGTGAGCTAAAATCTTACTCTCCCCGGGCCCCCAAGGATTGTGGCATCCTCAAGTCTGGGGCAGTTCTGCCCGAAAAACACTGGAGTCTCCTGGGGAAGTCTCCACTGTGATTCGGAAGACAATGGCACAGGCGATGGTGCCGAGCCCTGGCCCCATGCTGCGTGACCCTTAGAGATGGCACAGAGAGCAGGGGCAGGGCCTCTCTTAACAGGCCCTGAGCTGATTGGGAGACTCAGAAAGAGTTAGACAGCTCAGACATTTCCAACTCAAGGAGGATCTGCCCGTATCTGACATCTTCTCTTGGTCATTCCACACATGCTGTGGTCTCCTCATAACTACCCTTGTGCCTCTTTCCTGTTTCTTTCTCCACTGTGAAGAACACGGGAGGCCCGGAAGACCTAGTTCTGGGTCTTGCCATGGCCACTGCCTTGCGGGGCGCCTGTCCCGTAAGGTTCCTGTAAGGTAACATGAAAACACCTGCTAAAATATAACCTGAGGTTTGTGTCTAGATGTCCCCCAAAGCCTCATGCTGTCATAGGGGGCAGGATTTTTGGAGGTGGCAGGCTTTTGGGAGGCAGCTGAATCTAGAGTTGGTGATTGATTCATGATCTAGTGTTGGGATTTAGGATGGGAGTGGGTCGCTTGTATACAACATAAGGGACAGAAAGAGGCTTTCTCTCTCCTCTCTCTTTTGCTTCTGCTGCTGCTGTGAATGGTTGCTCCTCTGCCATGCCAGCTGATTACATACTGAAACCTCTACAAACTGTGAGCTAAGTAAACTTTTTCTCCTTTAACTTTGGGTATTGGGTATTTATCTCAGCAATGACAGATTTGTTTGTTTTGGTACTGGGAATCGAACTCATCACCTCACGCTTGCCAAGCAGGCACGTATGCCACTGAGCTAAATCCCCAGCTCAGCAATGATAGAAAAGTAACTAAGACACCTGGGAAGCTGGGATGGCAGTGTGTGACTATAATCCCACCACTCTAAGAGGCCGAGACAGGAGAACTGCAAGTTTGAGCCCAGCTCCTGCAATTTTGTGAGACCTTGTCTCTAAATAAATAAGCAAATAAAGAAAGGTGCTGGGATGTCGTTCAGTGCAAAGGACCTGGGTTCCATCCACAGTCACAGAAACAAAAAGCAGGAGCCTGGTTCAGTGTTAGAGCACATGTGCAGATCCTTGGTCCAGCCCTGGCTGTGGCCCCCCAGCCCCACTGGGCTAAGCCCCACTTCCTTGCTGACTCCACCTTGGTCTTGGGGCCCTGGGGTCCTGCTGTGCCTGCTGGGCTGCACTGCCGTGGTAAAGCTCCTCTGTTTTCTCTCCTCCTTGGACCCAGATGATGCCTGCTGGTACCTGGCTGTGTTGGGCCTCCCTCCTGCTCCTAGCTGAACCGTCCCAACCCTGCCCCAAGGGCTGTGACTGTTTCGCGCACGAGGTGTTCTGCTCTGATGAGAGGCTGACCGCCATCCCTCTGGACATCCCGCCGGACACTACAGATATCGTCTTTGTGGAGACCTCGTTCACTGAGGTGGAACCGGGGGCCTTCAGTGGCAGCCCCAACCTCACCAAGCTGATCTTCCTCAGCACGCCTCTCCAGAGCTTCAGGCCCGGTGCCTTTGCAGGGCTGCGCCAGCTGCGGGACCTGGAGGTCACCGGTAGCACCTTCAACCTTAGCGGTGACACCTTTGCCAACCTGACCTCGCTGGTCCAGCTCACCCTGAGCTTTGATGAGCTGGACACCCTGCCTGAGGGCCTGTTCCTCGGCTTGGACATCCTGGAGTCTCTCCAGCTGCAGGGGAATCAGCTGCAGACCCTGCCCCTGGGCATCTTCAGGCCCCTTCGGAGTCTGCGGTCCCTCAATCTGGAGCAGAACCGCCTGGCCCGGCTCCCAGCTGGGCTGCTGGACCCACTCTCTGGCCTGCGGTTCCTGAAGCTCAGTGACAACAAACTGTCCCAGGGCCTCCCCCAGGGTGTCTTTGCCACCCTGGGCAGCTTGGAGGAGCTCTTCCTGGATAACAATGGCCTCCGAGAGCTGTCCCCGGAGCTGCTCTCAGGGCTCTTCCGCCTGGAGCGGCTGTGGCTGCAGCACAATGCCATCAGCCACCTGCCGCCCTCTGTCTTCTCTGACCTGGGCAGCCTGACAGCCTTGAGCCTGCAGGGCAACGCCCTGCGCACGCTGCCCGCTGGGCTGTTCGCCCACAGCCCGCACCTTCTCAGCCTGTCCCTGTCTCACAACCAGCTGGTGACAGTTGAGGAGGGCGCCTTCACCAACCTGTCCAGCCTCACGTTCCTCACGCTCTCACACAACGCCATCGTGCAGCTCCCCGCCGGGGTCTTCCGGGACCTGCGGAAGTTGGTCAAGCTGTACCTGGGTAGCAACAACCTGACAGCCCTGCCCGTCAGCCTCCTCCACAACCTGTCCAACCTCGAGCTGCTCAGCCTGTCCCGGAACCAACTGAGCACGCTGCCCAAGGGCCTCCTCCGTGCCAACTACAACCTCTTCAACCTCGCCCTGCACGGCAACCCCTGGCAGTGCGACTGCCACCTGGCCTGGCTCTCAAGCTGGCTGCGCATTTGGAGTGACCAGCTGCTCCACACCCGCACCTACTGTGCTGGGCCTGCCCACCTGCGTGGCCATGTGGTGCCCACCTTGAAGGAAGAGGATCTGGTGTGCCCTGCCTCCGGCTACCCGAGACTGGACCCCAGGGTGGCTGGGCGAGGCTGGGGCCCAGGGGTGCAGGACAAGGGGGCCCCAAGCCGCTGCACCTACAGGAACGCAGAGGGCAGTGTGGTGCTTGCCTGTGACGAGACCCACTGTCGCTGGCTGAATGTCCAGCTGTCTCCCCGGCAGGGTGAGGGCTTCCTGGCCATGACGTACAATTCCAGTCAGGGCTGGGACCTGAGGTCCAGCTGTGGCTCCGTGAGGGTCACCGTGTCAATCGGGAATCTGGCAGCAGAGCCCTAGGGGCACACAGAGCTGGGAGCCTGGGCAGGTGGGGATCTGAGGGAGTGAGTCCCAGAAGCTTCGGCTTTTTGGGTGCAAGGGCGTGGTTGCATGTCCAGGGCTGGGGAGGTCGGGCCCGGTTCCCTCTTCTTCCCTTTCTGCTCTCCTCTCAAAATCTAAGACTGATCAAGGCCTCCTAGTGCCTTTTGAATGCCCTTGAGCGCTGCGCCAAGGTCAGAGAACAGCCCCTCCCCCACGTCCCCATCCTGGGGTTTCCTCTTATTTAATCCTGGTCCGCTGTCTCCCTACAGCATCCTAGCAGGGAGGGACAATCACCACTATCCCAATTACACACCCTGAAAGCCCAGGTTTTCCCTGCCCAATTCAAAAGCCAGATATCTCTTCAGGCTTCTTTATTCTAAAGGATCCGAGGACAAACAGGGGCGGTGGGTGCAGAGGTGGCAGGAGCTGGGCCTGGCCTGGTTTCCTGGGAGGAAATAGCGGGGACCATGTCCACCTCCTCAGCTGCATGCAGGTGAAACTGAGGCAGGACCGTGCCCCAGGAAGGTCAGCATAGCTCCAGGCCTGGTGGCCTGAAGCCCAGAGGGCAGCAATGGCTTTGCCGGCTGGGCACCGGAGGGCAGCTCCCTGAGGGGAAGGACGAGGACCCAGGTGACGGGAGGTGGCGGCGGGGCAGCCTGCTCTGCTTCGCGGCTTGCTCGTAGGGCCTGGTTCTGTGGGCTCCGCTGCGGCTCTCATTCTTCCTCCTCTGGGGCACCTCTCCTGACCCAGCCCTCTCACCTGTCACTCCCCCTGCTGCCACCTGTACCCGGCCTCCTCAGGGCTCCTGCTGCCCCCTCACACAGCCCTGAGCCGGAGGCCCCTGGACACCAGTGCGCCCCATCTCCATCTGGGGCTCAGCGTGGCAGCCCTGCATTCCAGCATCAGCCCCAGCATCTGGGCCAAGCTTTGTCCCCTCTCCTCCTAGGTCCCCACTCCCCCTAGGTCCCCATGCAGGACCTGGAGGCTCTGGGATCAGCATTTTCCTGCCCCCACCCATCTGGAGGGCCGGTTTCAGGGCTTCCATCTTTCCTTCTACAGCCCTGCTGGGCGCCCTGGACTGGACATGGGGCAGTGGCTGGGTAGACAGGCTGGGGTGGGGGTGGCCTGAGGCCCAGTGCACCACCTGCAGCTCAGGGTTTGGGAGGACACTGGGAAAGAACACAGGAAACATAAAGAACCCTGCCTGTGTGGGCGCCAGAGCTCAGAGGAGGCCCAGCCTCAGGTGCCAAGCGTCTTGGGGAACCTGCAGGCTGCTTGAGGCTCAGTGGGGGCACAGGTGCCCTGGGCAGGAGAAAGGAGTGGAGCGGGAGGTGGGGACTGGCACAGGCAGAGGCCGGGCCAGGCCGCTGGGGTTGGGGCTACGCCGTGGGGCTGGGCGCTGGGAGCCGACTGCTCCGTGGGATGTGTGTGCAGAGGGCACCGTGGTGCTGCAGGTGGCCCGCGAGGTCTGAGGGTGGGACGCCCTGGAGGAGGCCAGGCCTCGCACACGGGTGGGCAGAAGGCCTGGCCTCGAACCCCAGAATGGACTGGGGCAGCCGCTGTGGAAATCCACGTGGAGAATCCTCAAAACCAAAACTAGAAGTTCTGTGCCATCCAGCCAGTCCCCTCTAAGCATCTCCCGGAAAGCGTTAAAAGCATCCAGTGAGTGTGATCCACACACACCTCTGTTTACAGCAGCACTGTGCCTAAGAGCTGAGTCCTGGCAACAGCCCACAAGCTGCCAGCAGCGGGACGGATAAAGAAAAATGTGCTTACACACGGTGGAGCCCTGCTGGTCCACAAGGAGGGATAAACCTGTGCCATTCGCAGGAACACGGGTGCATCTTGAGACCAGAAGTCTAAGTGAAATAAAGGAGACACACAAGCTTAGATATCCCATGGCTTCCTTTGCTATGAGAAACCCAATATATAAATAAACTAAAGGGCAAAATAAAGAGCAGATAATAGGAAAGGGAGGGAGACCTTTTGCAAACAGGGAGGGGCTGGGGAGACAGGGAGGAGGAGGGAGGAGGGAAGGATGCGCAAGGACCTGAAACGGGTTATTTATGCGCCTGCACCAACTCGCCTCGAGGGTGGTAGTCACTGTGCTCCGCAAACGTGCACTAATAAAAATAACACTGGACATGAAAGCAGGCGTCTGTATCTGTGGGTTCCAGGAAGACTGGGAATCTGGGTGGTGCTGAGCGTGGCCGGGCTGTGGGTCCAGGGCGCTCTCTGGGGCTGCCTGCCAGTGTCACCCTCTGAAAATAGCCGCAGCTCTGGGTCCGAGGCTGGCGAGGCAGGAAGGGGGCACAGGGAGCCGTGTCTCCCCTGGGCAGGTGAGGGGCAGCCGCTGTGGAAATCCGCGTGGAGAATCCTCAAAACCAAACTAGAAGTTCTGTGCCATCCAACCAGTCCCTCTAGGCATCTCCCGGAAAGTGTTAAAAGCATGCGGTGAGTGTGATCCACGCACACCTCTGTTTACAGCAGCAAGGCTGTAAAAAGGGAGGGGCTGGGGAGACAGAGGGAGGAGGAGGCTGGACCGCGGCCAAGGACAGTCTGAGAGGGACAGGGGTGGGAAGCACAGCTTCTCCTTCACCTCCCCCGGGACGTTTTACCCTCGGGCTTCCGGAGGCCCAGCTTATTCCAGTTTAAGGTGATGGGAAGAGGGCATGGTGGCTCACGCCTGTCATCCCAACACTTGGGAAGCTGAAGCAGGAGGGTCGCTGTGAGACTGAGGCCAGCCGGGGATACATAGCAAGACCCTGTCTCGAAAAACAAAAACCAACCAACCCAATAAATAAACAAACAAGCAAGGGGAAGTCGATTCACCAAAGCTTTGGATTTTCAAGTCTACCCGGTCTGTTCCCAGAATTCCTGGGTGTAACAGCAATGGTGACACATTTCCCAGCTCGGGGAATGTGGCCTTGGAGAGATTAAAGATGTCAGATGTGCCAGTGCAAGGGCACCATTATTTCAGGACAGGGTCATGCTAAGTTATGGAGTTGCCAAGTCTGGGTTTGAAACTTGTGATCCTCCTGCCTCAGCCTCCCAGGATTGCAAAGATGAGCCGTCACGCCGGGCTGAATATGATCTTGTTTTCGGAAAGCTCACTGTAAAGCAGTGTGCGGCTGGCCCACAGTGGCCTCGCACACCTTAGTGTGTGTGTCCCTCGGTGGTGCCACAGGGCTGCGGGGAGTGAGTGGCCGAGCCCTGAGGTTTGTCTCAGTAGGGCTCTGACGGCCTCACAGCTGCAGGCAACACTTGCCTGATGATGCTGTTATTCCCTGCATTAGTACGCTGGGTGAGGAAGGAGCTGGACGGACACTGGCGGGTGGCTGGGCGGGCGCAGGGCCTCTGCCCACGGCGGAGCCCACTTCTTTGACCTGCAGTTTGCTGCTCTCCAGCCCGCAGTTGTGCGGCGCCTGGTCTCAGGCCGCCCCCTGGTGGCCCACTGGAAGAACGGCTCTCGCGGTGTTTCCTGGGCCGGAGGACCAGCTCGCCTGGGCTGTCCGCGGAGAAGTCGGCACTGGTGAGTCCCCACCGGGGGCGGGGGTTGGACATGCGGGGAGCTCCAGATGGTCCCAGGGGTGCTACGTGTCTTTCACAATCCTGACGTGCCCCCTGCTTCCCGTGCTTTCTGAAAGCGCTACCGGACGCGGTGTGGTGCAAATCCTGTCCGAGACATGGATCGCAGCCTGGAGGCGGATCCTGGACCTGTGTCTATCCCGACATGCAAAGGGGGCGCCCGGAAGGGGGCGCTTTGTGCTCCTCCTTGGAATACTATCAAGAGTTGTGCAACTGGGGGTGGGGGGTGGGGGGTGCAGGCCTGTTATCCTAGCACTTGAGAGGCTGAGGCAGGAAGATTGCTGAGCTCGAGGCCAGCCTGGGCTACACAGTGAGGCCCTGTCTCAAAATAGCAGCAGCAGCAGCAGCAGCAGCAATAATAATAAGTATTACGGTGAAAGACACCACCACCAGTTTCCCTCAGGACACCCTCAAGTATTTTGCTGCTATGATTTGAGTCCTCCGCTGTCCTTGACCTTACGGGAGCATCTGCCTCTTTGGGCCTCTGTTCCCTCTGTCTGAGTGAGGGGCCCTGATCCTGCCAAGACACCCCCCCAGTCAGCAGGCTGAGGCTCAGCACCACGGAGCGGGTGGGGGCTGATAGATCACGATGCTCAGGGGTCACTTTGCTGTCCCTTCCTTTTTACCTAGAGCGAAGTGACCGAAATTCCCTTATAAGGCTGCCGATGAGAGTGCCAAATTGTCTCTTAGGTAGCAGAGTGGAGTCCTGTGACTCTTACCTAAGTTCAACCACAAGAGCTCAGGAAAAGTGGAGGGAGAGAGGGAGAGGGAGCAGGAACATGGTTGTGCTGTGAGGTGGATGCTTCTAGGCTGGCAAGACCGGAGAAGCAGACAGCTTGAAGACAAAGGACCAAAGTGGAGCATGAGGGCCACTTGAGGCCAGAGCAGAGGGAGAGTGATGGCTGAGCTTTGCCCAGAGAGGATGCAGAGGCCAGCTGACCTGTGACAGCCCACAAAGCAGTGGCCATGGGGGTGCCTGTGGTGCAGGGTCCATCCTGGCCCGGTCAGTAGCACAGGTGCATGGGCTGCCTTGGGGCTCCCTTGGAGGGGGAGCTTTGGGGTGATGGCAGCTTTCCTGTCTGAGCCAGAACAGGGCCCCCACAAAATGACATGGGGACATCACACTGCAGGGGACAGCTCTGTGCCTGGGAAGGGACACTGTGCCAGAAGCATGCTCGGGCTGGGCTGTTCCTGTGGGGACTGACGGGGGATGTGTTCTACCCTGGCAAGGCACCAGTTACACAGGGGACGGCTGACCTGCTTGCTGCACAGCCTGCAGTCCTCTGCCTGCCTGTCCCTCTGCTTGAGGGATGTCAGCCTCAGAGACTGGGCAGCCTCTGAGGTGTCAGAGAGGTGCCAGGACGTGTCCTGACCGAGCAAGAGACCGGCAGGTGCAGCCCAGCCCTGCAGCCCAGCAGACCCCCACAGTAGACACACGGACAGCTGGCTTCCTGCTTTTGCTCTCTCTTTTTTTCTTTATTTTTCTGACATGAACTTGCTATGTAGTCTAGGTGGCCTCAAACTCATGGCGATCCTCCTGCTTCAGTGCTGGGACACAGGCATGCAGTGCCACACCAAGCTTTGATTCTGCTTTTTGGTAGAGGGAGAAGGGACCCCAATAATCCCAACATAATGTGGTCTAAGAACTGGCTTGGGGAGGGCACACTGATGGTCTTCTGTTTGGGTCTGCGGCTTGTCTGTTTTGTGCTGTGTGTGTATATGTGTGTGTGTGTGTGTGTGTGTGTGTGTGTGTGTGTGTGATCCTATATAACATATCTGGGCTGTCTTCTAAGCTCACCTAACACGGTGGGTCAGTGGTCCAGAAAGGTCCCGGTACTAAGAGAGTGGGGTATCTGGGTGACCCAGATCCCCCACCACACAGGAGGGCCTCGGCCGTGTCGGCAGCAGCCCTGGTGACAGTGGGCAGGGATGTAAAGTCAGAAGGTCAGTTGGTGTCCTCATGTGGCCACTTCTTCTATCAGTGATGAAGGCCAGCTGTCTCTGGGGGTGGTGAGAGCCAGTGATGCTGGCTGAAGTGCGCTGGGAACCGAAGGGTGCCCCTGGAGGCTCTCCCTGCAGGCTGGCTTCGGAACGGGAAACCTCAGCTCACTAAATATACGTGGATGGACGGATGTGGGCACTGTAACGTAGTTTTGGTATTAAAAATGAACATCAATTGTATTTAACTGTGGGCAGGTTTACTAAGGTATAGCTTAACACTTTAAACTTTCTGTGGTGTAATCCAGGACTAGGACTCTGCAGTACTGCATCGATTACAGTTAGGTGGGGGTTTGTTATGGTTTCTATCTAGCTCTCCCCCAAAGCCTCATGTGACCATGTGCAGGGCTTGTGGGCAGTATCAGAATCATGGGGTCTACAGAGGGCTTGCTGTCGGGAGGGGGTCCTGGCCTGGAAGGGCTCCTCCATTGCTCTCTCTGCTTTCTGTCCACCATGGTGTGAGCAGCTTCTCCTCCACCGAGTCGCTATGCCCTGCTGTCTTCTCTAGAAGCCAGTGGGCTATGGACTGAACTTCTACAAACCGCGAGCTGAAAGAAACCTTTAACTTGAAGGCATTGGGAATTGTGTCTCGGTGACAAGGAAGTGAGTAGGAAGGAGTTTAAACAAGGTAGGAACGGTTCCTCACCCTGTACAGGTCTAAGTGAAGGTGCCCGGCTGACGGTTGACTTTACTTCCCGAGATCAGAAACCCTTTTCCGCTCATTTGTTCACTTACAGAGTCAGCCAGTAACTATTGATTCACACCAGTGAGGCTCAGGTTACAGCAGCGGGGTGGGGAACAGATAGAGTCCTGCTACATGTGCGACCTTGACTTTGTAGCCCAAGGCAGCGCTACCCCTGCACTCCCTGCTACAGGAGGGAGGAAGGGCTGAAGAGGAGGAGGGCACAGATCACCTGAGGTGGTTGGTTTACACCTGTGATCTGAGTGCTCTAGGAGACTGAGGCAGGAGGATCACAAGTTTCATCCCAGTCTGAGTGACTTAGTGAGATCCCGTCTCAAAACAATAAAATACAGCAGGGGACATAGCTCAGTGCAAAGGTCTTGGGTTCAATCCCCAAGATAGCAGAAAGCAAAACAAACCCACAACCTGGTTTCTCAGGCCTCACAGCACCCCCAGAAAGCACTCTCTACACTGAACCCCTGAGTCTGCAACCCCAGGGTGGCCCCTGCTGCTTGCTGGGCTCCTGGTTGAGCCTGGGCCATACCAAGTCAGAATGTGTCATCTTTGCCTCTGGACAGCTGCACCTCTGGACACCTCTGTCCCTCTCCTCAGGCCACCCTTGATGGCCCAGCATCCTCCTGCCAGGACTCCTTACCACCCGATACCCACTCTCTCCACCACAGGCCCCTATGCCGGTCTCACCATGCTCTGCTTCAGGCAAGCCTGGAGGGGCACCCCAAACCCTGCACCAAGCCTGCCATCCCCCCAGGGCATGCACTGGCCTCTGCTCCTCTGTCACTTCCCTCTCTTAGCTTGAGCTGAGGAGTCTTTGGATTCTCCGACCTGTAACTGCACCGCCTCCTGCAGGGTGGGCCATGTCCT